AGCTTGAGCTTGGAAGGCTTGGGGTAGAGGCGCGGGCAGTGCATCTTGAAGCTAGGTTCGATGCTACTAGGCACCTACGTCTGGTCCCGCAATTTTCAGAGAAGGATGTTGACAAATATTTTTCTATGTTCAAAAATATAGCCACAACTCTGAAATGGCCTAATGACCAGTGGACATTACTTCTCCAGAGCGCACTCACCGGGAAAGCACAACACGTTTACGCGTCACTTTGCACCCAGGATTACGCCGTGGTGAAGGCTGCTATCCTTAGGGCTTACGAGCTTGTGCCGGAGGCGTATAGGCAGAGGTTTCGCGCTCTTAGAAAGAACAATGTGCAGACCTACGTGGAGTTTTCTTACGAGAAGGAGCTGTTGTTTGATCGTTGGTGCGCGTCGGAGAAGGTGGACACTTTGGTTAAGATGCGGGAACTCGTGCTTCTTGAGGAGTTTAAGTCCTATTGTTTGCCCGATAATGTGGCGATGTACATTAATGAACATAAGGTGACTGAGTGCTCGGTGGCTGCGAGCCTTGCGGATGAGTTCGTGTTGACGCACAAAGTGCTCTTTGACAGACCTAATTATCCCGTGCGCAGTGTGGAGAGTAGACTTGAGTGACAGGCCTGTGGCCTCTGGCGGTGGCAGTGTGGGCGAGGTTGCTGAGCAGGGAATGAGGGGAGAAATGCGTGAGTGTTTCCACTGTGGTAAAAAAGGCCACATAAAGGAGAACTGTTTTGCCCTTACCCGTCCCAGTAAACAAATATCGTTGGTAATGACACCCACACACACATCTCTGAGTAGGGATGCCAGTAGCGCGGCTGGGTTTTATTTTGCTCGCGAGGAGCTTATCGCGGAACAGGGTAGAGATCCAAGCCTGTCAGGCCTTTTTGCGAACACTGTGGGAGTGGGAGAGAGTGAGGTTTCTAAAAGTTGCTATATCCTGAGGGACGGGGTATTGCTGCGTAAATGGTCTCCTAGCCTCGACGCGTCAGCGGAGAATGATTGGAATGTGGTGACGCAGGTTGTGGTTCCGTTTAGATACCGTCACGATATTCTGTGTTTGGCTCACGATCACAGGCTCGCAGGACATCTGGGGGTCAATAAGACATATGATAGAGTGCTGCGTCCATTTTTTTGGCCAGGGTTGAAACGGGATGTGGTGCAGCACTGCAGGGGGTGTTCAACGTGTCAGGTGGTGGGTAAACCTAACGGGGTCATTCCACCGGCGCCACTCTACCCTATCCCGGCAGTGGGGGAACCTTTTGAGAGGGTTATCATTGATTGTGTGGGTCCACTCCCTAGAACCAAGGCAGGTAATAGCTTTCTTTTGACCATTATGTGTGCCAACACACGGTTTCCGGAAGCGATTCCACTGAAACGGATAATGGCCAAAACAGTGTCACAGGCCTTGGTGAGGTTTTTCTCCGTTTTTGGTTTGCCTCGCGTGGTACAGTCCGACCAAGGTACGAATTTGTTATCCCGCATCTTCTCGCAGGTTTTAAAGCAGCTGGATATATCGCATAGTTTCTCTAGCCCATATCACCCACAATCCCAGGGGGCTTTGGAAAGGTTCCACTCCACGCTAAAAACAATGCTTCGGGCGTTCTGTCGTGACACGAAGTACGACTGGGATGAAGGGGTTCATTTAATGTTGTTTGCCGCAAGGGAGGTGGTGCAGGAATCTTTGGGATTCAGTCCTGCAGAGCTGGTATTTGCACATTCGGTTAGCTGCTGAGGGAGAAGTGGTTGGGGGAGAGCGAGCCGAAGAACCTGTTAGACTATGTCTGTGGCTTTAGGGAGAGGCTGAAGAGGGCATGTGAACTAGCGAGGACAAATCTGAGTGACACACAGGGGAGGATGAAGGGCTGGTATGACAGGAAGGCTCGGGATAGAACGTTTGTGCCAGGGGAGAGGGTTTTAGTGTTGTTGCCTGTCCCAGGCTCCAGCTTACAAGCACGGTTTAGTGGGCCGTACCTGGTTAGAGAGAAAGTAGGGGATTTGGACTACCTGATCGAGACACCGGATCGTGGGCGGAAGACTCGCTTGTGTCATGTTAATATGATTAAGCCATATTATGTGAGGGAGCCTCTGGAGAATCCTATTGACAGTATTGTTGTTCCCTCTGCGAGTGTGTCCACTGTGCCGGTGTCAGTTTGTATGTTGGCCCCATCTAGCGTTGATGAGAGTAATGACAGTCTTTGTTTTTCAGAGGGGGTTGGAGAACTGGAAGATGACGTCATTATTCCGTCCAAGGCGGTCGTGGAGGGATGGTTGACAAACACTGAGTCATTGATCACTCTTGACTGTCATCTTGGCCATTTATCAACAACGCAGCGAGATGATATCAGGGGTTTGGTTGGGTCTCATTGTGAGCTGTTCTCCGATATTCCTTCGCATTACCCATTAAACAGCACGCGTATCGCGTGAATCCATATAAGCGGGCGCGGTTACAGAAAGAGGTGGAATACATGCTCACTAACAATATCGCTGAGCCCAGTTTCAGCCCATGGAGCTCGCCGTGCTTATTGGTTGATAAGTCAGACAAGACAGATAGGTTTTGTACGGATTTTCGCCAGGTAAATAACGTGACTAGGCCTGATAGTTTTCCATTGCCCAGAATGGAGGACTGTGTCGACAGGGTGGGGAGTGCGTCTTATGTAACCAAGCTGGATTTGCTGAAAGGATACTGGCAGGTGCCACTTACGGATCACGCTAAACTAATTTCTGCATTCGTGACACCTGACAGCTTCCTGCAATATACGGTAATGCCGTTTGGTATGCGCAACGCGCCTGCGACTTTCCAGAGGCTGGTGAATCGTGTGCTGTCAGGCGTAGCTAATTGTGAGGCCTACCTCGATGACCTCGTCATCTATTCTGACGATTGGGAGGGGCACATGGTTAGTTTGTGGGAAGTTTTTGACCGGCTTGGTCAGGCAAATTTGACCCTAAACCTGGCCAAGTGCGAGTTTGGCAGGGCGACCGTCACCTATCTTGGCAAGGTAGTGGGGCGGGGGGAGGCCCGCCCTGTCCACTCCAAGGTGGAGGCTTTCCAGAGCCTGCTACACGTCGGGACCTCCGGTGTTTTCTGGGGATGACGGGGTATTATAGGGGTTTTTGCAGGAATTTCTCAGCGGTAGCTTCTCCCCTCACGGATCTCTTGAGCCCGAAGATCCCATTTCAGTGGACGCCTAGGTGCACTTTTGCGTTTCAGCAATTAAAGTCCATCCTGGTCAGTGCTCCTGTCCTCGCAGCGCCTGTGTTCACAAAGCCTTTCAAGTTGGCTGTGGATGCTAGTGAGCTGGGCGCAGGCGCGGTGCTTCTGCAGGACGATGACGGGGGTATAGAACATCCGGTGTCGTATTTTTCTAAAAAGTTTAATATACACCAGCGGCGCTATTCGACAATTGAAAAGGAGGCATTGGCCTTGATTTTGGCTTTCTCCCATTTCGAGGTGTATGTCGGTTCATCCCAGGTACCGATTAAAATATACACCGATCACAACCCGTTGGTCTTTATAGGCAGGATGCGGAATTCGAACCAGCGGCTAATGCGCTGGAGCCTTTTCCTGCAGGCCTTTGATGTTGACGTGGTTCACGTCAAGGGCAAGGACAATGTGTTGGCTGACGCGCTATCACGGCTGTAGTCAGGGGGGGGGGTGCTATTTATCCATGGGGTGGTGTGGGGGTTATGGCCGTCCATACCGGTGCTGTTAGTACAATTCGTATTTGTTATTGTGCTGACAGTATTATTGTTTCTTGTTTCCTTCTTCTGTTTATGTTCATTCCCCCATTTCGCCTTGGGGTTATGGACATAAAGTTGGGTGTGGGGGTGTTTGTGCCCTGATCAGGCGCTCCTAGTGTGATGTGTCATGTCTAGCTGTAGTTTCCTGTTATGGTTTTGTAGTTCTTATCATTTCCCCTCCAGGTGTACCCATTTGTAATTAACCCAGGTGTGTCTTGTCTCGTCATTTCCTCATGTATAAGTATTCTGCCTTCCCCTTTGTCTGGGGCTGATCCTATCTGTGCAGTATGTGTTCTTGTCTGTCACTACTTTATATTTCCTTTGTTCAACCATGGTGGTAATTATTAATTAAATTCTTTTTTTGATTACTTCGGCTACCGTCTCCTTTATTATGTTGCCTTGACTCGACATTGAGCCTGCTAACAGTCAATGGTAACGTAATACCCCTTTATACATCCAGAATTCCTATTATGTGACTATCGAAAAATATATAAATCACCATAAAATCTCACTGACTGAAATAAAATGTTAAAGTGATCTTTTTGATGCTGTTAAAAGGACCAATAACTAAAGCATAGGGTAGATTTTTTTTACAATGATACATTTGCATGTAATAGTCACCTCAATATCATCCTACACAATCAACACAAATATGTGTAAAATATTGACATTTTTATATGTTTTATACTACTAAAACAGCCTGGGGTCAAATTGACCCCAAGGATAACAGGAGGGTTAAAGAAGAAGTTACAGGTCTGTGAGAGCTAGAAATCTTGTTTGTTTGTAGGTGACCAAATACTTATTTTACCGAGGAATTTACCATTAATCCTACAATGTGATTTCCTGGATTCTTTCCCCCCATTCTGTCTCTCATAGTTGAAGTGTACCAAGGATGAAAATTACAGGCCTCATCTTTTTCAGTGGGAGAACTTGCACAATTGGTGGCTGACTAAATACTTTTTTGTCCCACTGTATATATAATTGTGCTTTAAGTCATGAATCTCAATATCAATATTTATTCATACCTTTGTTGGTATAGGAGTGTTTGCTCTGGAAAAAGGATTACTCGTTTTTTTTTCTTCTGTAGATACAGCATGTATTATTGATTTAGTGACCATGGCAACAACCTGTCATAAAGTATGTAAATTATTATATATGTGGTGAAGGTCCACAGGGGAGAACTAAATTCCTCTACTACTCTATAGACTTTTTTTAATCCGTGAGATTAATTGAAGGAACTTTATTTGTTTTTTTGTTTTCCAGGAAAAGGAGCTCATCACACGTATTACTGTGGAGAATGAGAAATTGCTGGTGGAGAGGAGAAGGCTTTTAAAACAGCTAAACGAGGAGGAGCACAAAAAGAAAGACAGTTATCTAACAGCTTCTTTGTCCAAATGCAGGTACTGGCTTTACACAGTCAACACATGAAACAGACACCAGTTGATAGGATGATTTCATATTTAGCTAATGAAAACTTTTGTGTGTGGATTTCTTAGATATGGAAAACAAGAAACTAGGAAACAGGATACTCCACATGACCAATTAGTGTAAGGTTTCAGCATTAGAGTTATTTTAGTTTATTGTTTTGTGTTTATTATTGTGGCCTTGCATTTTATTTTGTTATTGACTCTACCCTCTCTTTTCAGGGGCCTATACTACGAAGCTGGTTCAACCTAACCTGGATATGTTTGAGTTAGCCGGTTGGCCTAATCCAAAACATACGCGCTCTCGCTAAACTGTACTACGACGCTGGTTATCAAGTGGATCGCTCAAGCCAGCCGTGTCCTATCTAGTTAGGTGCGCGTTCACATGAAAGGGGTGGTATTTGGAGCATTCGACCAATCACAAACATGGAGAAGCATACTGACAGCGCAGCGTCATACTTCCTGAATGAAAAGTGAACTTTAATACTAGTCAAAAATGAAGAAGTTAAACTTTAAACATCCATGACTTAAACACTTTATCCAGGATAAAAGCCACATAGTCTGCACCTGCAAGGTGAATACAGCTGGCAAAAGAAAAAGTGTTTGAATGCGTACATTAACAGGTTTATGATATCACTGCCCTGTCTAAAACACGATTTGACTTTAATTACATTTGTCTCGAGTGTTTCGTCAACTTAATGTGTTGCTTAAAATAATACTTCTGCACACAGTAGGCCTATGTGACACTGTGAGTGTTGCACGGCCAGATACGGCTCAGCTGACTCAGATAAGAAAATATATGATACATTATAAAGTGATATGCCGCGGACTGTAGGCCTACTTAATGTTACTCTGATCCGGTTACTTATGTTGTGGTAGATATGTGGTAAGTGTTCTTAACGCTAATGTTATAATAGTCAGATTGCTCTGAAGATAGGTGATATTGTGGTGACACGTTATTGGACATAATTCACCTTGCTTATTGTGTTGCCACACGGACCCTTTAGTGGGGAACACCGGTAGCTTTAGCTGCCATTCCTGCTAGCTCATCAGGCAGAGCAGTGCATGTGTTAACCTCTCTGAAAGTAATGGATAATAAAGATTGGAACTCCATTCTTAATACACCGCCTCCGACTCTCTTTTCACGGCACTACACTGGTGACCCTGACTTTTCCGAGAAAGTTTCCGGAAAATTAACGAACATGGCTGAGCGCGATGTTTTCATAAAGCTGCCGGAATTCTGGGAGCACGCCGCGGAGGCATGGTTCGCACACGTGGAGGCACATTTCGCCTGCCGACAGGTCCATGACGGGGACCTAAAATACTACCATGTGGTAGCAGCGCTGGGGAGCTCCACGTCGTCCAGGTTGGTGGGATTCATCGCAGCCCCCCCACATCATGGCAAATATGAGGCGATTAAGGCCCTTCTCCTTAAGACATTTAGCTTATCTGCTAAGGAGAGGGCCCGTCAGATACTTGACATTCAAGGCCTAGGAGACAGCAAGCCATCCCAGCTAATGGAGAAAATGCTAAATCTGCTAGGGGGGGAAGATCCCCGGATTTTATTCACGGAGATTTTCCTGCGTCACTTGCCTCCCCGGGTACAGACGGCGCTGGCCAACACGCCTGTCACGGAGCCCCGTGCTTTGGCTGAGGAAGCGGATCGTTTTTTCCTGGCTACGCAACAGCCCGGGGCAGAGACGTTAGCCGCGACGCTCAGCGGCCCACCGGCAGTCAAGAAAGCGTGGCGGAGGCCGGACACGGCTGTGGCTAGCCGGCGTGGAGACGCCGGAGAGTGCGTTTACCACGCACGTTTCAGGAGAAGGGCGAAGAGATGCATCGCTCCGTGCAGCTACAAACCCCCGGGAAACGGAGGGGCCGGCGCTCAGTAGTGGCTCTGAGTGTCGGCGGCACGTGCAGGCTCCTCTTCATCAGCGACAGCGTTTCGGGGAGCTTGTTTCTGTGTGACACGGGCGCTCAACGGAGCGTAGTTCCAGCGTCGAGTGAAGACGTCGCCCGTGGGGGGCACGGACCGCGATTGACGACGGCTAACGGCAGTCCCATTCGCACGTACGGCGTGAGGCCTATGTGTTTGTGCATCGGAGGACAGCGTTTAGGCTGGGATTTTGTGACAGCGGACATTTCTTTTCCCCTCCTCGGAGCAGATTTTTTGTGTGCTCATGGACTCTTAGTGGACGTTAAGAATAGGCGTTTGGTTGATGCCTTAACGTTTTCTTCCCTCGTGTGCACACTTGGCAGCGCAGCGTACGCTGTCAGGCTGTCAGGCTCGCTGTCAGGTGCAGACACGTTTCTCAGACTGTTGGCCGAGTTTCCAGACCTGTCGCTACCCACCTTCTCTGCGCTTACCACTAAGCATGGCGTGGAACACCACGTCACTACCGGGGGGCCTCCTGTCTACGCCAGGGCCCGGCGGTTGAACCCTTCTAAGCTGGCTGTAGCGAGGGCGGAGTTCGCAACCATGGAGCGCCTGGGCATTGTCCGCCGCTCCGACAGTCCTTGGGCTTCCCCCCTGCACGTCGTTCCCAAATCGAACGGCGGGTTCCGCCCGTGCGGGGATTACCGCCGACTCAACGACGCCACTACGCCGCACATTCAGGACTTTTCGGCGCATCTGGCCGGTACGGGGGTGTTTTCCAAGGTGGACCTGGTGTGTGGATACCACCAGGTGCCCATGCAGCCCCTGGACATTCCCAAGACAGCAGTGATAACGCCTTTTGGACTTTTTGAGTTCCTGCGGATGCCTTTTGGACTCAAGAATGCCGCTCAGACGTTCCAGCGCCTGATGGATTCGGTGCTGCGGGACCTGCCGTTTGTGTTTGTTTACCTCGACGACATACTCGTCGCCAGCGCTTCAGTGCAGGAGCACCTGTCTCACCTCCGAGCCCTTTTCACACGGCTCAACGAACACAGATTAATCATCAATCCTGCAAAGTGCCAGTTCGGGGTGTCGGACATCGATTTCCTGGGGCACCGCGTCACCAAGGGCGGTGCGACACCTCTGCCAGCGAAGGTGGAGGCTGTTGCGGCGTTTCCTCGCCCGCTCACAGCCCGGTCGCTCCGTGAGTTTCTGGGGATGGTGACTTTCTACCACCGTTTCATCGCCCGGGCCGCACACATCATGCGGCCGCTGTATGAAGCGTTGAAAGGCAAGACCCCCGTCCAGGAGATCGACTGGACAGCAGAGGCGGACGGCGCTTTTGCTGAGGTCAAGACCGCGTTGGCTCAGGCGGCTTTGCTGGCACACCCATCATCTACGGCTCCCATCTCCATCACCACGGACGCGTCAGACTACACGGTCGGCGCAGTGCACGAGCAGTGGGTGGAGGGCGCTTGGCAGCCGCTCGCCTTTTTCAGCCGCCAGCTGACGCCTAGAGAACGCAAATACAGCGCCTTTGACCGGGAGCTCCTCGGACTTTATTTGGCCGTGCGGCACTTCCGTTTCATGCTGGAAGGCCGTGAATTTACGGCGTTTGTCGACCACAAGCCGCTCACCTTCGCCATGTCAAAAGTGGCGGAGCCTTGGTCGGCACGTCAGCAGCGGCAGCTGTCCTACATATCGGAGTTCACTACGGACATTAAGCACGTGGCTGGCAAGTCGAACCTGGTTGCTGATTGCCTCTCCAGGGTCGTCATCGGTGCCGTCCAGTTGGGCCTGGACTATACTCGCATGGCGGCAGACCAGGTCACAGATCCCGGCGTCCAGGCCCTGAAGGTGGAGAGCGCGGGGCTGCGCTTGGAGGACGTGGTGTTCGGCGACGCGGGGCATTACTCTCCTGTGTGACGTCTCTACGGGCCTGGCGCGGCCTGTCGTCCCTGCCAGCTGGAGGCGTCCTGTGTTCGAGGCTGTGCACGGCCTGTCACACCCCGGCGTTAAACCTTCAGTGCGTTTGGTAGCGGCGAAGTTCGTTTGGCAAGGACTGAAAAGGGACGTGAGGACTTGGGCCAGGGAGTGCGTGGCTTGTCAACGCGCTAAGGTGCACCGCCACACGAAGGCCCCGTTGGAGCGTTTCCTGGTGCCTGAGAGGAGGTTTGATCACGTCAACATTGACCTGGTTGGTCCGTTGCCTTCCTCTCAGGGGTTTTCCTACCTCCTCACCATGGTGGACAGAACGACCCGTTGGCCGGAGGCGGTTCCGCTCGTTTCGACATCAGCCGCAGACGTTGCCCGGGCCTTCATTGCAACGTGGGTGTGTCATTTTGGCACCCCGTCAGACATTTCCTCAGACAGAGGCTCTCAGTTCACGTCCGAGCTCTGGAACGCTGTGGCAGGCGGTTTGGGGGTTAAGCTGCACAGGACTACCGCTTACCGCCCTCAGGCTAACGGCCTCTGCGAGCGCTTTCATCGCTCCATGAAGGCGGCCCTCAAGGCAACTGGGTCGACAAGCTGCCCTGGGTGATGCTGGGCCTGAGGACCGCACCTAAGGAAGATCTGCAGTGTTCTACAGCGGAGATGGTCTACGGTCAGCCGCTGAGAGTTCCGGGGGATTTCCTCCCAAATGCATCGGCTCCCTGGTCGGCGTCGGCCCAGCGGGCTTTCCTGCGTGACGCCGCTGAGGCCTTTGCTCCGATCCCTACTACTCAGCACGGTACTCAGGTGTCCCAGGTTCCGTCGACCGGTCGACCTGGGTGGCAAGGCCGAGCACGTCTCGGTGGACCGGGTGAAGGCTGCTCACCTGGACTTGGACCAGCCTGTGGTGCTGGCTCGACCTCCGCGACGGGGCCGCCCCCCGGCCTCGTCCCCTGTCACGGATTTAAAACCTGTTGTTCCGGTCCCTCCCCTTCCGGGGGCCGCACAGGCGGGAGTCACTTTTCCGACTCCCGTGCTCAGGAGTCGTGGGGGTCGGCGTGTCGTTCCTCCCCGCCATGCTGATTTTGTTTATGTGTGAATTCTGGGGGGGCTTGTGTGGTGACACGTTATTGGACATAATTCACCTTGCTTATTGTGTTGCCACACGGACCCTTTAGTGGGGAACACCGGTAGCTTTAGCTGCCATTCCTGCTAGCTCATCAGGCAGAGCAGTGCATGTGTTAACCTCTCTGAAAGTAATGGATAATAAAGATTGGAACTCCATTCTTAATACACCGCCTCCGACTCTCTTTTCACGGCACTACAATATTCTATTAATGTTCACGTTCACACAGTCGGTGATTTTTGCCGGCCGTCTTTCCTGCGACGGCAGCTTTTCTGTATTTCCTTTCTCCTGTAATATGACTTGATCGCTTTAAACTCCGTACACT